TCAACTTGTGAATGGAGCTACCTTGGAGATGCAAAGGACAGCAAGGACCAGACCATTCACTTTTAAGACTGCTGGGCCAAGGGGAGTTTTCACAACCCCCTCCCTGGCCTGGGCCTCAGGAGGGATGGAAGAGGGTTGTAAAATTTTAACCTGTAAGCATTAGTCTTACCAGTTAACCCGCCTTAATGGGTAAACCCCAGGCTGGCTGGTTGACCCCAGAAGCCCTGTACTGGCCAGAGCAGCCCCAGCCATGCTGGCCCCTCTCCCTTTAATCGATTAACCATTTAAACAATATAATTTTAATCATTTAAATGGTTAACTTTTTAAACAATATTTACATCCCGAGTGTGAGCAGCTCACATTAAATCAGCATGACAGCAGTTTGAAACAAAGCACTGAGCATTAAGCATGCTACTGCCCAGTGCAGTGAGAAGCTTGAATTGAGGGGCAAGAGAAGCAGATTGTGTTGCCAGCATGCAAGCTTTGCTTTTCCATTCTAACCAAAGGAGCCTATACACTGTATTCCTGTTGACTAAGACATGCAGTCTTATTTTGAAGAGGCTGTCCTGTGTAACTGCAAACATCTACTGGTTGCATAGCTCCCAAAAGGGTAAGTCTCTGACACAGGTCTAAACTCATTAGGACCTGCTGGAGGAGCCATGGTGAGAAACAGAGGTGCTGAAGCCAAGAACTCAGTCTTGGGTAAGCAAGGACTGCTGGGCTCATCTTTCCAAAAAGGGGAGGCCCTGGGCTTAGCACTAAAAGGTGTCCACTGCCAGAGGGCAGTGAGTAAAGGCCAGAGGCAGAAGACACCCTTTAGAACCATGATAGTACAGCAGTTAACTAATGGCAGGAACAGTTAAATTCTTGACAGGGGTAGAAGCTGCGCAGGTGTGGTAAAAGAAGAGTTATTGTACTCACACGTTCAATAAGAGTTCAATTCTACTCTCATAAACATCAATGGAAAGGCTCCCATTGACTTCCATGAGAGCTGGACTGGGGCCTAAATGAATTGTGGTAAATACTGTATGTTTTACAAGTGAAGTGCTGTTGCCCTAATGTTTATATTTTCATTGTTCAAAAACAAAACCATTATAATTTTCACTGTAATCTGCAAGAATATTTTGCTAGCCAAAACACAAGACTAAAAATGGGAATCTTTTAAAAGATTCCCATCATATAATATTAGTTACCCACATTTGGTGGCAGTGGAATATACCAATCGTCACCAGACAACAAGATAGCAGTTAGCTTTGTATTTTTTTCTTTAAATTGATGGCTTCATCATTTTAATGCTTTGTTGCACTTTGTTACCTTTTACTGTATATCCGATTCTTTATATCCTATCCTGTGGACCTTTTAAACACATCATACAAAAGGGCTGCTAAAGATCAGGGTGCTGGAGCCTTCCCAAAGGTGAGTGGGTCCCCCACCCTGGGTAGGTGGAGGGACCCAGGCTCCCCACAGCTGCCCGTACGGCTCTCCCTGACCCGGCTCCAGTCAGGGCCTCGAAGCCGCAGCCCGGCCACGATATGAGCCGCACTGGCAGCTGTGAGGAGCCATGGCAGACCCTCTACCTGCCCTGTGCTGGAGGGCGGGAAGGGAAGGGGCACCCAGAGCAGCCTCCGACCCGTATCCCCACCCCTCGCCCCCCCACCAGGGTAGCTGGAGGGTCCTGGCCAGAGCTGGGTCAGGGAGAGCATGCGTGCAGCTGTGTGGAGCTGGTGTGGAGTCCCAGACTCTCCTCCTCGACCTGCCTTGGGTCAGGTGGGAAGATGGACCTGGAGCTGCTCTCAGTCCCCTCGTACCGTGAGCAGGTGGAGGGGCTGCACGCATGGCTCCCACAACTGCCCAGGCTCCTGTCCCCGGCCAGGCTCCATGCTGGCTTGGCCAGGTGGGCAGCCCCACCCCAGCGAAAAGTGGACCAGCCAGACCCACCCATTTTCAAAAAGTGGGAGGGCCATGGTCCCCTGCCCTCCTGGCACTACTGCATCTTGCATGACATTCTTACGTTTGGCAGTTTGACATTCTCACATGTCTGCACATAGCCCAGCTATTTTTCATGCATTCAACTGCCTCAGTTTCCTTGCACATCCCCACAGTCCCATGATCTCCCAGCAACCCTCCCCCTGGCTTTCTCCATCCACCCACTACATCCTCTCTGGGCTGCACCACTGCCCCAGAAATCCTCCAGGCTCTCCCTACCCTAACAATCTCTCTTCCAGACTGTCCCCGCTACAACATATCCTTCTACCTTCTGCTGGCTCTCAACTCCTTGCAATATCCCCAGTCCCCAGGCTTCCCTGATCTTTCCTTCTAAAGTGTGCAGAAAATAGGTTCCTACCTCTCCCATACCTATTCCCAATGCTCAAGCTGATCTTGAAGGGGAATCTATTAATTTTTTCACTTTCCAGAAATGTCACTCATGGAGTGCACAAAACATGGCGGCTGGATTTTCACTCAAACCTATGTGGGCCTTATTTCAAAATATGACCCAAACTACTGGTGCAGCTACAGTTCTACACCTGATAAGTCAATTGTTCCTTTTCTCCAGGCCTAAGAAGTAGATTATGGTATCCTGGATACAGATTTCGCTTATCATCTTATCAGACTTTTTGTTTGACAGGAATGATTTCCCAATCCTGAAAAGGTGGACTGGTTAATTTTTTGTGTCTGCACAGTCTCAGCTGGGAGCATAATAAAATAAATAATAATATCTGAAACAGTTAGGGAGTTAAATGTACTCTTTTTAAAAAGCCTTTCCCTTGATGAGAAATAATAGTTGGGCAGAACAGAGTGACCTTCATGGCATGAATTGAAGTTATGCTACATACCGTGCTTATAGAGCATTTTTGAAGTGCATAGATCAGGGAGACTCTGGAATCAGCTTTCCATGTTGGTCAGGCAAAGCCCAAGTTTGTTGACTTTCAATGTCAAGTACAAGCTCGAGTTTTACTTACACTTATGGGAATGACGGAGTCAGCTGACCTCAAGCGGCGATCAGAAAGGTAATACATTGTAGGGATTGGTGGGAAGAGAGGGAAGGCAAATAAAAAGAACACAAAATGTATTATCTTTTAAAAATCTCATTATTTGGGAGGGGGACTGATTTATTCTTTTAAAACACTTGGAGGTAGCAATACTGAACACTGTTGATGTAAAAATTGGATTTCTTTAAATGTACATTTTTCCTGTGTCTAAAAACAGCTCAGATTATTAAAACTGGAATTTTGAACATCTGAATTACCTTTTTTTCCCCATTTCTCTCAGTGTGAAAATAAGGGTATGGCTACACTTAAATACTACAGCGGCACAGCTGCACCACTACACTACGGTGTAGACATTCGCTACACCAGCGGGAGGGGTTCTTCCCTTGGCGTACCTAATCCACCTCCCCAAGAGGCAGTAATTAGGTCAAGGGAAGAATTCCCTTCCATTGATCTAGAGCTCTTATACTAGGGGTTAGGTTAGCTTAATTACACCACTCAGAACTGTGGATTATTCACACCCTTGAGTGATGTAGCTACACCAATTTGATTTTCTACTATAGACCAGGCGTAAGCTAGTCAATTTCACTTTTGTTCAGTATCTGGTTCACTTTCAGGGCCTTATATGCTAATTAGTACCTATGCTGAATGTTTGCACTGTGGAGACTGTTAATGAATAATTGTTTAAAAGACCTGTTTCCACTGGATTGTTTTATACTTTAAGTGCCATGCAAACATTTCTGTTTGTCTTAGGTTTTCACAATATTTATCTGGTCAAATTTGAATGGAGTGTCTTAGGCCCTGACTACACAACAACATTTTGCCTCAATGAATCTATTCATGGGCACAGAACATCTTAGAAAACTGAGGCCTTAGGTTTGGCCTACACACAAACCTGCTCTGGTTTAGTTAAACCAGTTTAAACCCCTGTTTAAACCCCAGTTTAAACACTTATTTCAATTTAGCTTAAACAGGTTCCTAATTGACTTAAGGTCAATTATAATAAGCCTAATTTAAACCAAAGTAAGTGTGTCCATATAGCCTTTTGCACCAGTTGAACCAAGTCAGTTTAAAATGAGCCCTAAAGTGAAACCAATGGAACTCTGCCTGTAGAGCAGCCCTTAGAAGGGAAGTGGTAGATGTTGCAACCCTATAACATGCAAAAGCATACGTAGCCACAAAACTGAAAGGCAAAGACAGACAGTACCACGGCCTGTCTGCTTGAAAGCCCATGATCTACAGAGTACAAGGAAACAGAAGTAGATGTCACAGAAATATGATGTTCTCTACCATGTTAGAAGTCACCCTCTGTGGGGATTGTGCTGCAGGGGTGGGTGAAGTGATTTAAGCTCTAAGCACTGGGGTAGAGTACAAGAGGGGAAGCGGACAGGTCACCCACCTACAGGCCTGGGGCACAGAAGGGGTCACTTGCCCAGGGCCCATTTGCGACAGCCCCCCCCCGAGCGGCGTTATGAGCCTGTGCGCAAGGTGGCCGTGCCACCCAGGACCATGCTTCAGGGAGCGGTGTGGTGACCCGAGGGGCCAAACCCCAGTAGCACAGCCAGCCTATAGGCCTGCTGGAAGTGCCCAGAGCGGGGCCCAGCCCTGCCCACTGGAGTACGTGCCCCAGGCAGGATCTCGCCAGCCTCCCCTCTGGGGTCACGGGGGGAGGGGGAGGAGGGAGCGGGCAGCCTCTCTTTCAGATGTTGCCCCCAGCCCCGCAAAACCGGATTTTATCCCGGCCCAGCCTGAACAGTGGCGGGAGGCTCCCAGGGCCGTGTGGCCGAACCCCTGCCTGAGGGGAGGGGGCTCTCCCCAGGGCGGGCCCTGCCAGGCTGAGCGCGGGAAGGTGTCTGGGCCAGGGGCGGCACGACAAGGAGCCAGCCGGAGCGGCCCCAGCCCGGCTGGCCGGGAGCAAGTTCCCGGCACCCAGTGCCCGCCGCGGCCGGGGCTCGCTGCCCGGCGGCTCCTCGGGCCCCTCAAACCGCCCTAGAGCCCGCGCCCCCGACTCACCATGGTCCCTGCTCCGGGCGGCTCGCCCCGGCTCCCTCCCCCCTCAGTGCCAGGTGCGCTCCCCGCCGCCCATCCTGCCTTCCCACAATGCCCGACACCGAAAGCGACTCCGCCCCGCCTTCACCTGCGCCGGGCAGCCCTCGGGAGGGGCCGGGCACCTGGCGCCGGAACAGCCCGTCGGCGGGCCCCGCCCCAGCGCCAGGGGGAGCGGCGAGCACCTGCCGGGCGAGCCCCGCCGGCCAGCCGCCGCCCCCCGCGCTGCGCCGGGTGGCGGGGAGGGGCGCTCCCGGGGCGCGGGCGCGGGGCGCTGCTCCCAGTCTCCAGGGATTTCCCACTTGCACCACGAGGCCAGCAGGCGGACCCAACATGCAGCATAGAAATAGACAAGGCAAGCTGTGTCCTGTTACTGTATATAAGCGCCCGAGTGAAATTCACGCACAGGTTAACCAGTTACATATACAAAATACCCAAGCACACAAACAGTGGCAGATAGGCAGGCTAGACTGAAACTGTTCTTAGCATATTCTAGGCACCTGGATTTCCCACTGCTTGGCGTTCCCAGCCGTCACCAGGCGCAACAGGACAGATGAATGAGGAGGAGGGTGGGGGAGTCAAGATTCCGGGCTCTTGTTCCCATCTCTACCCCTCGCATATCTCTTGGAGAAGACTCCAGTTCAGCAAAGACAGCCGAGAAGTTCTGTTGGTTTCAGTGGGACTACTCATGCTTAAAGTTAAGCACCCGCTGAAGAACGTTACCGAATCAGGACCGAGAACCTGTTTTAGTGAGAGAGAGAGAAGGCTGGTGAAGCCACCAAGATTACACCCCCCTGCCTGTTGTTTTGGTTGGTTTGGATCTTTCATCTCCATTTAGATAGTTACCAGAGGTGGGCAGAAGTTATCTCAATTTAGTGTCTAATGAGAAGGATGGTGAAGCCTGCCTTACTCTAGTACTGTAAGGCGATGAAGTGAGCTGTAGCTCAGGAAAGCTTATGCTCAAATAAATTGGTTAGTCTCTAAGGTGCCACAAGTATTCCTTTTCTTTTTGCGAATACAGACTAACATGGCTGCTACTCTGAAACCTCTCAACATGAAGATTGAGTAAGAGTGCTGATTTGCAACTTGAACCTGTGGACATTTAGTCCAGAGGTGAGAGCGCTCGCAGCAGGGCAATACTGATTTGGCATTAAACTCATGCTGCAATCTCTATGTTGAGGATTTATCAAGCTACACCGAGGCTTGGTGAACTTCCAGCATATTGAGTAACCTCAGGCAGTATCTCCTGTAGTTCCACTGAGAACATAATGGCTCAAATGGAGCTTTTGCAGTCTCAGTGGAAAGATCATAGTGACTAACTGAAGTGATACCAAGTTCAAAAGACCTGATAAAAATGCAGTGATGGTAGGTCATGCATTGTCTCAGTGAGAGATGTTTGAAAAAGAAAACAAAACTTGGACTTGAGTGGTAATGCCAAGGTAAAACCGCAAACAAATAACTTTCTCTACATCTGTACTAAGAGCAGGTTAATTATTAAAAGTTAAAGATTTTAAATCCAATTTACCATTTGCTTGCTTGCTCTTGGAACTCTGTGGTACCTAGTTTTGATTTCTGGTTCTCAGGCATTTGTACAAAGGTGCAATGTTGGGAAATATATAAATCCAAACAAAAAATTCCAGATAAACTATTTTCAGTATCTTTTATAGAAAAAATCATGACAATATTTCTATACCTATACGTCTTTATGTTTTTTCAAAACACAAGCAACCTAAATTTGAGGCCTGGATGGTGGCTCTTTAAAATTGCTAAAGGTCTGAATCAAAGCCCCAGAATCTAGGCTTAAGGCTTTTCATTCAATTGCCATGGATCTCATTAGGGAGATTTTATGTCTTGCATGTACTGAAATACCTAATTATAGTAGCATGAGACTGGGAATAGAAAGCCTAACTTCTGTATTTATTGATTTTGGGTGGAGATTTAGGGTAGCCCTGATACACCAGTCATTTACTCCATGTGTCTTCAAAAAGATGGGCCCCATCCCACAAACTGCAGCCTTTCCATGCTTTGGGGATTCATATTCAGTATCTGGCTCAGGCCCATTATACAGAGAGGTTTTAAGGCTTGAGTGTCCAAATCCCAGGTCTTGTTCATCCCCATATAATTGAGAATAACAGATAAATATGGAGGAGTGTAGAAAGTTACCTACTGATGTCACATGTCAGCCACAGCTCACACTTAATAAATTCCCTTCTTCAGTCTTTGAAAGGGCAAAGGTATTAGTTATTCTTAATTATGCTTAGCAACGGGCAAATTGTCTCCAATAAAAGCATGTAATTCCCACTAAACTCCCTGGGCAGTTGCATAGGTGTAGCCAGGGCTGTCCTTAGGATTTATGGTGCCCTACGCAGTATTATTAAATTGGTGCCCCTATATTCCACTAAAGGCAGTCCCCAGCCGGCACCACTGACCCCAGTGTGTCGAGGGGCACAGCCACCACCCCTGTCTACAGACCCCCAGAACTCCTCTCATTGCTGACACACACGGAGCTTTGTAGGTAAGAGATACTGCAGTGGTGGCTCAAGGCAGGCTTTGGGCTGTCACATGGGGGCTACATCTTCCCGGAGTCCATAGCCCTCCTGCACCCCCGAGCCACTCCTGGCCTTCCATGACCATTTTGAGGGAAGTACCAAACCGTAATAACAACAATAATACAAGTGTATGTGTGTGTGTGAGAGAGAGACTGTGTGACAGAGTGTGTGTTGGGGAGTGTGAGACAGTGTGTGTGTGAGACAATCTGTTTTGGAGGACTGTGACTGGTGAGAGGCAGAGTGTATGTGGGTGTGAGAGCCAGTCTGTCTGTGAGAGGGTGTGTATGAGTTAGGGAAGTGTGAGATAGTGATCACACTGTTACTTTAAGTGTCCCCATCCTTTCCCCACTCGTCCCAGCTTTCCCCCGCACTGGCTGACTCATGTCAAAGTTTTGCTCCTCCTGTCCTGACCCCGGCCCAGCCCCCGCTGGAGACCGAGTGACACAGGCAGGTAGATCCAAGGAGGGACTCCATTCTGGGTGGCGATGGACCGGGCCGCCACACCGCCAGTGACCAGCTGTGCTGCTCTGGGCTCCAGCCAGCTGAGGAATGAGCGAGGGATGGGGCAGGGTTGGGGTCGGGGAGAAGTCTTCCAGCCCAGCATCAGCGAGGGGTAGGAGAAGAGAGGTGCCATACACAGCCTTGTATGCCTAAGGACAGCCCTGGGTGTAGCAGAGGAGACAGTTTGGCCCAGGGTAGGTGCAACTTGCCTTTGATATCCCTTTGTAGCTGAAGAAGTTCCTGTTTATAAGAGCTGCTCATAAAAAAGAAAACATCTTACAAAAGTAGTTTTAGAAATTTTTCTCCACTTTTAAATTTGAAAAATCAGCTATCATTTGTTAAAAAAAACTATTTGAAATCCCCTTTTCAAAAATTTCAAGAATGAAATTTACTTTGAAAAAAATGACTAGCTCTACAGTTGGTCAAACAGGAAAATAATTTTGCTAAAATTTAATAGAAAATATTCCAAGTTTTGAAATTTAAAAAAATTCAGAAATAAAAAATGACTACCCCTACACTTCTTTATTTTAATGTAGGTTTGAATGAGTCAAAGAAAACACTACTGCAAATAAAGAGCTCTACAGCTCTCTAGCAAAGGTAAACCTAACAATCAGAAATCAGTCTTCCTGTTTCTTTAATGGATTAAGTATTAAAAACTGAACATTTTAAGCTATGGTCACAAAAAACATACTCTTTCATGTACTCACATCCAATCTACCCTAGTGTTTTAGTCTGCTGTCTGTCACCGTAGTATCTATTTTTGTGTGACAATCATGTATCAATAATTTTATTTTTTTTAAAACAAAGACCTAAATTAGTTTAGGCATAGGAGTTCAGGTACATTGGTTCACAGTATCTGAATTTATGCAAATATTGCATAAGAAAAAGAAAGGGAGCAGGGAGAAAAGGAAAACACAACCAACAGGTACGTATCACATGTTCATTGCCTGGCACCAGCTTTCCTAATTATTTATTCTTGAGGGCTGATCTAGCAGGTTTATGGAGGTAATAATTTGGCAACAGAGGTTCAGAGGTATTTGCAGATACAGTAATCATGCCAAGATATGTACCCATTTAAGTCAATGATATTAAAAATCAAACAAGTGTTAACCTCTGGCTAACAGCCAACTAGAAGCTGGAGATAACTGTTTACTTGTGGGTGTGCATAATCTTGCAATAAATCATCTAACTGAATGTCACTTACAAACTTCCTAAACAAGCTACTGATGGTTATCACCATTACACAGAGGGGAAAAAAACCTGTAATTTCACCTTTGCACATGTCAACAGTCACATTCACAATGGAAGTCAGTGTCTTGCTTGGCAGTGCAACAATTTCAGGGGGAGTTGTGCATACACAATTGATGGCATAAGAGGGCCTCTGGTGTCCAGGGCTGGGACTCTAATGAGTTTGATAATGCTACCAGATTGCATGGTTTATTACTGACAGCCTAGGTGCTGTCATAAGGCACTGATTTTGTCATGGTGGAAGGTCAGAAGATCTGGACACATGGGGTCCCATTCCTTACAAGCTTCATACAAGGGTCTATTAACTTTAGGAGGTTTCACATGGATTCAGAGCTCATGGCATAATCATGGTCATTGTAAGCAAAGATATACATATTTGATAATTAGCTGGGAAACTATATTTTTGTACATTTCCAACATAATGGATGAATCCATGCCAGGTCACAGCTGAAAGGAAATGAAGAGCAGCTGTTATGTAAAAAGGTAGCAGGAAATAAGTGGACAAAATAGAACATTCTTGTTCCCTTTTGAGAAGCAGCAAGCCCTGGCCCTGGCAAGCAAAGGCCCTGGATAAATCTACTTCAACCACAACAAATGTGGCGGAACATTTGCCTATTATATTAATTCTAGCCAATGGTAGCTATAGGCTGACTTCAAACCATCTAGGTTCAGATTCTCTCAAAGGTACACAACTATGGAATAGTTAGGATAAATAGCTCATAGTAGACTAAAGAGTTCAGGCTGATTGTTATACCAATAAAATAAAAACCAGCA